TAAATGCACCATAACTTTAAAAAAGTAAAGGCGGTAAAATAAGGCAATTTACTATAAGACTGTAAATGATTTTTTAAATAGATTAAAACACATAAATATCGATAATATAAGCGAATTCCTAATTAAGCCATGCAGCCACTCTATTCTAGTGTATCAGTAGTTCATTTGGCTCAATATTATGACAATGCAGCAAAAGTTATTTAATATAAAAAACCGCCTTTCCATACGATTTTTGTGTACGTCTTTTTCCATTGATAACTACGCTATCTTATATTTTTTACATTTTGAGGACAAAAATTATACAAATCCATCAATTTTAAATATTAATATCGTTCTGAAAACACCAAATACTTTAAAAATCGCGATGTAACGAATTACTAAAATGGAACATTTTGGATACTATTTCCCAACGAATAGTAGTATAAAAATTAAGATCGGTATCACTGAAAATAAGCATGCCGACTTTGTCAAAATTACAACAAACACGTCGCTACTGACAACACCTTGTTATTATTCCACCATGCGTGTAAACCATATGAACTGAACACAATCCACAACACAAGCCAAGGGTGTCGTGTGATTGCTCGCCAAGTTGTAGCTGAGCAATTTCTATTTTCTAATTTGACAAACGTGCAAAGAAAGAATGAGAGGATATTTGTTCTTTGTCTTCATTTTATTTGAATTGAAATATATGTATGTACATATGTATTTTTTTAAATTGAAATTCATAACTATATAAAAAATATGGATAAAGACGAGCCATTAATTAATGAGATACAAAAGTATCCATTTTTTATATAACCTCGTGGATGAGGATTATAAAAATACCTTCAAAAAAGAAGAAGTGTCCAAGCAGATTGGCCTGATAGTAGGTGAAGAAGGTAAGGACTTTTATAGTAGTTAATGGTTGTAATCATATATGTAATACTCCTATATTGGCAGTAAGAGCTAGTACCGTCCGAAAACACTGCAGTACAGATATATCAATAAACACGTACGAAAGAAAAGGAACACATACGTTTAAAAATAAACATGTACACGACACATTTACAAAACCGGCACTCAAGTACACAATACATTGACAAAAACAGTACTAGACTGTCTCGCTTTGATTTCGGAATGCTTACACATTGAGATGTTAGCTTACTATCAATATAGAAGTATTACATATATGGTTGTAATACATTTTTTATTATTTCCATAGCTACAACATGCAAAAAACATTGGAAAGGTTTGCGTGACCATTATGGAAGGTGCAAACGTGCAGAGAATCTTCCGTCAGGAAGCTCTGCATGCAAGAGGCCGAAGTGGAAACACTATTAACAGATGTCCTTTTTGACAATTATCTATACTGCCAGAGGTAAAATGAATTTATATTCTTATACAAATGTATCGGTATTGTAACATACATTATATTGCTCTTCCATGTAAGAACGTGGAGCAGTATTTCCGAGGCCGACCAATGCTTTATTGAGGTGCAGGAAGAAAGGTCAGAGCAAGCCCATTTTGCACCACCACCTCAACCGAGACGCCAAAATGACACGGTATGTACATTATTTTGTCTTTTATACCTAAGCACAAGTGGCATTCAAAGAGTTTTGTGGGTGGGCTTTAGAATGGTAACCCCGGAGTATAGCATTAAGGAAAATATGGGAGGTAGAGGGGGGTCTAACAGTTCCCTGTATGAAGTTTCAAAGCGCGCAACCTTATACTTTTTAAGTAATTTGTTATTAAAGTTTGTTATTTTCACCAACTTGTATGGGACTATTTCACAATATATAATGCACTTTCCACTAAATTTACAGGTTATTTACACTCAATATATGCGCAGTTGGAGTGTGCACGTTCAAACAAATAAATACTTTAAGTATATTACAGCTTTTTTATAAAAAATTTATTGTTGTTTAATTTTATGAGAGTACATGCAGAATATGTGCAAATGGCAGCAGGACTGTGTTGTCATATCTACAAATCAAGAGTGGAAAGCAAGACCAAAAGAAAATACGGTTTAAAGGAAAATACGATAAGGTTCTTTTGTCCAGATAAAAATAAATAGTAGGGGGCTTGGGGTCATATTCCCCTCTTCCGGCAACACAGAAAGGAGAATTCTACGTAGTGAGGGTTATAATCCCCAATTGCGCCCGAAGGCCGGCAACGCAGAAAGGTGCGATTGGCTTTCCTTTATGCCCGTAACCGTAACCAGAAAGGGAATTCTAGTTACCTCATCCTTTCCCAAGGTTACATCACTGGGGCGGTAGCCCCAGCTATGTCACACAGAAAGGAGAATTCTACGAAGTAAGGGTTATAATCCCTAAGCGCGGCCGAAGGCCGCCTACGCAGAAAGGTGTTCTATGCAAAAGGTGTTCGGCCCCTTTTCTTTGGCAACACAGAAAGGAGAATTCTACGTTGTGAGGGTTATAATCCCTAAGCGCGGCCGAAGGCGGCCTACGCAGAAAAGAATTCTACGCTAAAATACTGTGGACGCAAGTAAAAATTATTATTTATGTTGTTTTTGTTCCACAGAGATTTGGTACCCCTTTTAATGGGTACCACTGTGGATTGTACTGTTAGTTTTATTCAAAGTAACGCTTCTTTCTCTGCTTTGGTATTATATTCTTTTCCAAACGTTATTTCGGCGTTGTTTGTGAGCTCTGGGTTTTGTATATTATTATTTATTTTAAATTAAAATGACTGACGATCAAGCAGGTATGTTTTTAAAGTTTTAAGTGCTTATATTTATACATCTAGTAAATATTTATCGTATTATTTAAAGATATCGATACGCCCTCCACTAGCCGTGGTGTTCATCCACGAAATGCGACTGTACTGTGCGTCGCTGAAGTACGCGGAATGTGTCAAAGACTTTTGATACGCGTGAAAAATGTACCGCTTTCGCAGAGGTACAGGGTCTAATTTTGACCAGAAGATTATGCCGTACGCATAAAATCCCAATGACGGTTTCACCATTGGGTAACAACACGGTCGGCAGCTTTCGATGCCGCAAAGGGAGCTGCCGTTCAAGATCAGGCATTTCTAGGGCCACTGGTACGTGGTTTGAAAATGCCAAGCTTCCACTACCAGACATTTTTTACGTAATGTACGCCTACGCTTCGCACTGGAACCAGGCTGAAGTCCGAAAAGAAAGTATTACCGAGGGAACCGTTTTGTCTAGCGCCACCATCTGCGATTGGTACAACTACTGTCGTGAGGCAGTTGTTTTGTATCAAGTCGATCAGCAGGAGGTGTTAGGCAAAATTGGGGGCCCCGGTAAAATTGTTCAGATCGACGAGAGCAAGTTCGGGAAGCGAAAATACCACAAAGATACCAAAAATTTATTTAAAAACACATATTCTTTAATTTATATTTTTTTTTTAGGCAGGAGAGTGGAAGGCCATTGGGTCTTAGGGATGGTTGAGGACGGCAGCGACGATCCGAGGTTGGAAGTCTGCCCAGAAAATGTCCGGTCTGCTGAGGTGTTCATACCCCTCATTCAAAAACATGTGGCCGAGGGTACAATTATTTGTACCGATTTTTGGAAGGCGTACGATTGCCTAGCGTACCACGGGTATGAGCACAGAAAAGTAAACCACAGCGATCCGGATAACCCCTTTGTGGCAGACGACGGCACGCATACTCAAAGGATCGAATCACAATGGCGTGTGATTAAAAGATTTTTTAACAGAGACAACTACAATAATCCTCATAATTTTGCGGATAAAATTATAGAATATCTGTGGCGCAAAACAATTGCTCGTAAGCATGAGGACCCTTTCCTCAAACTTATTGACGCAATAAAATATACATATAAGCCTTAAAAATGTGTTTCAGTATTTTATGGGGGAATATGACCCCAATCCCCCTACTATTTATTTTTATCTGAACAAAAGAACCTTATCGTATTTTCCTTTTAATCGTATTTACTTTTGGTCTTGCTTTCCACTCTTGGTTTTTAAGATATGGCAACACAGTCCTGCTGCCATTTGCACATATTCTGCATGTACTCTCATAAAATTAAACAACAATAAATTTTTGATAAAAAAGCTGTAATATACTTAAAGTATTTATTTGTTTGAACGTGCACACTCTAACTGCGCATATATTGAGTGTAAATAACCTGTAAATTTTGTGGGAAGTGCATTATATATTGTGAAATAGTCCCATACAAGTTGGTGAAAATTACAAACTTTAATAACAAATTACTTAAAAAGTATAAGGTTGCGCGCTTTAAAACTTTACATATACCCCCTTTAGAACCCCCTCTACCCCCCCTATTTTCCTTAATTCCGTACTCGGTGGTTACCATTCTAAAATTTTCCCAGTTTTATTCTTTCTATAGATTGACGACGATTTCGGGGTTTTCCTAGAGGAAACGTCGAGCTCTCTCAAAGAAACGTGTGACTCCTTTGCAGCTGCTGCGAATAGAGCACCCTCGGCAACTTCGACATGTGCTTCCCCGAGCATGTTGCAAGGCATTGCTCAAATTGTTACTGCGTTGAATCTGAAACCCCAGGGGGAAGCGAAGCTAATAGGAAAAATCACGTCGTATGCATTGGAAGAAATCAACAAAATTGACCCTTCCCATTAACTTTCCCTTAATTTTAATATTTATTATAGAATGTAAATTTGGTTATTAAGCATGTGCTTACATACATACTATGTAATTAATAATATAATGCTTATGTACATACAT